GCGGCTTCTTACCGGCCACATCCGGTCGCAGCCGCGTCCCGCGCTGCTGCCCTCACCTATTCCATGAGCGATCTCCTCGGTGTTCAGGGCCTCGACATGGGCGCCGTTTACCATCCAATACCTACGATCGGCCTATGACCAACGATACTCACACCCCTTTCGCGACCGCAATAATTATAGCTCGTCCGGGGGTGTCATACTTACGTCCGATTATTTCGTTTAATTTTAATCGATTAATCATCCTTCTTTTCTATATTGCTTGTCGCGATTTTTTCATTTCGTTTTAGCATATCGTCATGAGTTTTACAATTATATTATTATGTTGTCCCGAAGGACAACATAATAATACAATTTTTAATCGCAAACGCAATAGTCTTTCTTAGTTTTGCTTAAAAATAATATTTGGTACGTGCCAAAAAACTTGTTGTTTCGGATAGATCGATTTAGATTGTATGAATTATAAAGTTTGAAATTCAGTGAATTAAGTATGCTCATGTAAAAGAAATATATGTACGTATTTATTGGATCTATTTAAGACTTAATTGGCTGAAGAAATCAATGCAATCAAACTTTTTATTTATTATTTTTATTTATTATCGATTAAGATTTTAGGAATCTTGCTGAGAAAAAGATTAGTCTCTCGTAATAAATGCGTAATTTTTTAATGAAATATTACAGTGAATTAAACAGCATTTTTTTATACATTCCTCAATTGAGAGACTGTTCGTCGTTTTGAAGTAGTCAACGAAAGAAATCGAAAGTATTAATTAATATATGCCAATCAGTGATCAAACGATCGAGCGTGATAAGTATCAATTTCAAAAAGTGCAATATTGTAGATTTAGGAAAACCGTTCTTATTTATCGGTTCGAAATACATATCGAGAACGCGATATTTTCGCGGAGCTGTTTGCGGTTGGTAATGTTCGGCGAAACTGTGATCGTAGAAGCAGAAGAAAACGCATAGCGAATTGCAGATTTAATCGACGTAGTAGTTACCTATGGGGCCTCATTTTCTTGTAGTGAAGAAAGTAGACATGTAGCAACGAGACAAACGGATTGCAAAAGACTGGTAGTTATTTCGTAGATAATTAGTAATGCAGATAGTAGGACAATAAACAAAGTGTTCAAATGTAGAGGGAAAACGACCTAACGATGCTCAAATAAATTGCCGTCGCGTCGAACGTATCTCCTTATAGGATTGTCTTTCGATTTTGAAATTTACTATGTATAATTAATGAAATATAAAGTAAAATCTTAAACAATTTTTTGCTTCTCAAAGAAACATTATTAAATTAAAAAAATTTAACTTTAAAATTTATATAGATCTTGTGATCTTAAGAATAATAGGATTATCTTTCGATTTATAAATTTACAATTTGTTCAATAAAACATAAAGCAGAAATCTTAAAAAGTTTTTGCTTTTCAATAAAACATTATTAAATTTAAAAATAAAATTTTTGTGTTTCTTCGATTTTTCAAAAGAAAAACAGTTTATTTTGACGGTTTTTCTTAAAATACATTTTTTCATGAGTTATTATTTTTTTTTAAATTGAAAAATCGGAGATGTATTGAGAATTGAGAAGTTAATAATAATTAAATTTGTCTTACATTGTCAGATTAGTATAATTATTATTAAAGCATCCATTTTTCGAAAATGAATGTAATTATATAAAAACATCTTCTTTTACATACTAATGAAGATAGGCAGGATGAATAGTACCTATACAAGTCATGTCTAACTAAATCTCAATCATCTACCGACATCGAATAATTAAATTTTTGGTGCCCATCACACTTGCTGTTAAAAGCACTTCGATTAAAACGCCGTAGAAATTAACACCGACATCGAGTCTTCAACGAAGAGGAGGAATGAGAGAACAGGAAATCGAAAGACAAGGTGAGCAGCAATTTTCAGGTCACCCCGATGGGGAAACAAAACGACAAGTCCTCGATGGAGATTGTATGTTCGTCGTTCGGCGGCTGTCAATTCGTTGATAGAACCTAGTTGAAATTTTAGCGCGTTGCGAACAAAGCTCTAACGTAGAAATTGTCGTCTGCGAGGTTACGCGACAAGATCGGGTAATATAATTGAAAGTCGCGATAGAAGATATGGAAAAATAGTCGCGTTTCGTGGCGTATTTTCGAACGTCTTTAAAAATAGCAGGATATTTTTTCGGAATGAAATAATCATTTGTTTAAACAATAATAAACGCTCTTTGTCGAGGCCGTTTTAATTACGAATATTTTAACAAAAAAAAAAATTGAAATAATATACAAGAGAAAAACAACCTTTCTCCTCCTTCTCCCAGGTAGTGGTTCGCTGCGTGTATTCCTCGCGAGCACGCGAGCAATAATTGAAGGAAATCAATTAGCAGCGCATACCGACGTAAATTGTCGGCGATGTGATGTGGCGAGAGAGCGGTTAGCGTGACGGGAGCCCGCAGGAAATGGTTGGCGACACGTGCACTTCTCATTTGTCGCGTTTTCCGGAATATTTTTCGCAAGTGACTTCATGAAATTTCATAATGTCGAAGCAAGAAAGAACTCTGTGTTCTAAACGATATAAAGATACTCAAAAGGAAAGACACGAGCTCGACACTATTTATATGTATATAAATGCATACGTGAATCTATATACATATACATATATATATATATATATAATATATTTATATTCTATTCTTATATGGGATGTCCCAAAACTACGGTAATGTCTCATTGATATTAAGAATCAAATCAGAGAAAAAAAACTTGAATAGTTTTGAGAAAAAAAGAGATTCTAAAAATATAAATTGATAAAAACATGTAAGTTTTAAGTGTGAGTAGAAAATTATTATTCGGGGCTTAATTATTCATTATTGGAATTTAAATGTTTACAACAGTGACAAACAGCAGCCTCACAACCAAGTAGTAAAAAAATATAAATATCAAATAATACATGATTAATGGTTTTCGGACACTCCATATTAATATGTACCTAACGATCCATTATAAATTACGCCAGACGATATATACGTTATATATTGTTTTGTATCTTACCTATTTGATAACGCCATAGCATTTGATATTAATATCGATATATTTTTTGTGAGAGCCGCATTACACCTTATAGTTTTTTGTAATAGACCAAACAGATATACATATCGGAACCTATATATCTATCTATCTCTACATATCTAGGTAATTAGGTAAACATTTGTGTTGTTATCAGACCTTAGTTATTATTGAGACTAGGCGTTCTAGGTTCGATTAGTTAGAGAATCAGAGAATCAGTTTTAAATGAATTAATATACTATGTACACGTTCCTATCGTTGAGACTACTAGTGGACTATAGCTTTTGGGAAGTCACTATGATATCGTTAGCTTAGATTATACTTTAGGCGCTCATCTTCGCGGAAGAACGCGCACTTGCGTCCGTTCGTCGACGAAGAATTGTTCAGAGGGAAGGCATTTGGCCTCCGTCGTAACACGTTTCCACTCATGTTTCCTTCCGCAAAATAATTCGCGAGAGAAGCGAGATAAAGCGCGGTGCTCAAACGTCTTCCGCGAAGAATACGCATTACCAGCGGCTTCAAAGAGACCTATTATATTGTACCTATTACTTAACGAGCTACATTACATAGTTACATTTATATTACGTTACACGTAATATTATACCTCTCTCTCTCTCTCTCTCTATATATATATATATATATAGGATATATACTAAATATATATCGTGCGTATACCTATCTATACCTAATGCCTCAGCTCCCGTATATCCCACTCATATACTATTTAACTCTTCTTAAGCCGCATAGCATCATTTACCTTGATAATAATGCGTGAGACGTGTGTCCTAGAAAGTACGTACTTAGCCAGAGAAGCGCAACACTGTCAGTTTCGTAAGTAGATCAGACTTTGATGGTGCGGTTTTATTGTTGGTCTTTGTGACACTTGGCTGGGCTACTTGATTTTGGGTTTTACGGGAATATAGAGTATCCGCTGATGTCTTACATAATTTATAACGGGGGCGCAGAACGATTCGACGGAATGCATTCCTGATACACGGCCTCGCGAATGTTTCTCCTCGTCCGAGATGGGACATGTACATCAAAGGAGAAACATAAAATTCTAGTGAGAGTAGCTCAATGAATTCCACGTTGCCGAAGCCATCGATGTGACGTAAACGTTAATCGACTGGCAACTCGATCGTAAACTCGAGCTGAGACAGGCTTTATGCGCTCCTCGAAACTGCGAGAGACTGTTAATATTAATACGTCGTACGTAAACGTCTGCTCTACGTGAGATCGATATGTTGCATCTGAGAAAGTTAAGGGTGCATACGTAGATGCTACATAGAAAAGCACGCGCGTAATTTGCGCAAGAATTATTTATATAGTATCGTCGAGATCTATTCACGTATTTCGATGAAGTGTGACAAAGATACATATCTATATAATGCTGCAAATGATTCTATTGAGATAAATGCGAGATAGTGCTCGACGTACATGCAATCTTATTGTAGCTCAGAAGAGTTTAGAAAGCCATTAAGACAGAGAAAAAGAGCGCAAAATGATAGTAATATACCATTGAGCGCTTGATGTAATCAAAACCAGCCCGGTAGAGAGACTTTAGGTACGAAATTACTAATACTATTAATATGTATCAGTGTATATTTTAATGGCTAGAATAAACGCTCTTATACTTTTTTCCATCTGCGTAATATTGTGAGAGCAACGTCGATATGGATACTAGCATAGTGAGTCTAGTAGTGTAGTATTATTGTGGTCAGTGTTTTTTTCAATATTGTATCGTCAATATAAATGTGAGTAGTGGTGCCGGTGCTATGCCACGCACATATACACGACATGAAATAGAAAAATAAAAGTAGAGTACGTTATTACGTGCGTATTCAATCATTCCGCAAATTTATCATTTGCGGAAGACATTCAGGTGGTGGCATATTACCGACCCTTAGTCGATATCTAATAAGCTATATAGAGAGCCTAGCAAATATTACTTAACGGTAAATAATTAACCAATACCTTTGAAGGCTACAATAACCATAGTTCATAGGAGGGTTTATTTTGTCGTAGAATTGGAAACACCTCGGCCGCGCGTAGTTACCTAGTACCTTGTCACACAGTTTAGAAAATGCGCTATATAGTCGATGCGATATACATATATACATAGTGAGAATCTTAGTTGTGTGGTCTTTTGGATTAGTATCGAATTATGAAATTTCATGGATGCCTTGATCTCTCTATCATTCTGTTTCTCTCATTCTTTCTCTCTTTCCCTTTCTCTCTCTTACTCTCTTTCTCTCTTTCACTAATTTTCTCATACTCTCTATTTAACCTAGAAAGCTTTTAATTCTATTTCTTATCTTTTTTCTCTTTTTACGTTTCTCTTTTATCGTTTGGACCTAGTCATCCGTTACACTTAAATCCCGACGAATTTCTGCAACGCTTCGCTTCATACTTAACTTATCTCCGTGTACATATTCTTAAATGTTTACGCCTACCTTCGCCTGCTCGAAGAAAAATATTGGTCTTGCGACATATAAAACTTCGCGGAAATAATTGACATGTGGAAACTTTACTTCTGACACGTAGCTTATTTTGTAAGTTTTTCGAGCGATCAATATCTTTCTTCGTATGTAGTTGCAGAAATTTTGATGGAGACTTGCACTAACGAACATGCAATATAAATAAAGGGGGAAAAAAATCGAAAAGAAAAAAGAATTGGTTAAAAATAAGTAAACAAATATTCAGAAATATATATTAGTCTATGTCGAAACTACATTTTAATCGAGTTTATTTTTCCTTATAGATTTTATGTGGTCTCTGGGAGCATTACCTGATGGTGAGTATGTGAAATATTTACTGACTAGTAAAGAATTCGATACTTATTCTGACGATCCCTATTATAGACGTAACTAAAGAAATAATGATGCTATATGGCTTCACAACCTTGATACATAATTGTCCATTTCACCTATTTGCTTTAACATACATTTTACCTATAGCATATTTTTCAATTCAAACTGATATGAATCGTATGTAAATATTAGAATTTAGCGGAGTAATTACTAACCTCTCAGTTACCTCTTAATTTTTATATTAATGGAAATTTAATCTAGCAGAATATAAATATGGCAATAATTTTGACGGATATAACTTAATAAGTTTATCTAGTTAGTCTTTATACAATGACAAGACCTAATCAGCAAAATCAAATCGGATCTATCGGAATATTTAGTACTTATTTTATATTAAATTATACCATTTTACATTAATGACAATTTTGTATTGCAAATTCGAAAAAAATGTGACGCTGTTAGCTTAACATTAAGTTGGCAGCATCAATTCTAATAAAAGAAATAAAAGAAAAAGAGAAAAATTTCATTAGAAAGTAATAGAATTGGACTTATATTAATTTGTACTATCAAGAACAATTTTATATTGTGTCATTTCTAAAAAAACAGTGGTATTACTAATTTAGTAGCAATTTAATAATTTAGTAATTTAGTAATTTAGTAGTATAAGCTGACTGTTAAAAAATAATCATAAAAAAATGTACAAAATATATTTGTATTAATTGGTACCATTGAAAGTAAGTTAATATTTTACATCTTTTTTTTCCTTGATATAACTTTATTAATATTAATTTACAATTTATATATTAGTAATTTTAGTAACGAAACCTAAGTGAATCTGGCACTTGAATTTAAGAAAAAAAATGTTTTAATATGCATTAAATTAAGTTATTATACAAAAATGTTTTTCAAAATTTGTTTTTTGATTTTAAGTTATTATAGGTTTTTAATCATTTGTATCAATTTCCTTTTGTTTGTACCTTAAGGAATTCAAAAATATAAAGGGTTGAAGAAATGCTAAAAGATTTTGAGATATTTTAAATTCGTAAACGAGTGTTGTTTCGTAATTATTTGTAACTGATTGTATTATAATCGGTTTCACACACATTCATTTCGTTAAGAGGATGATTGTACCGAAATTTTAATATAAGGATGAGAGCTAACTTTGCTATTTTTAAAGTTATTTTAAATCCGCAAGCAGGTGCTGCTTCGTAATCATTTATACTCGTATACATTTATACAATTGTACCACAATCGATTTTGATCCCCTTTAAGGGGATAATTGTATTGATATTTCAAAAATAGATTGAGAGCTAGCTGCGCCATTTCCGAAGATATTTTAAATCTGCAAGCATGTGCTGTTTCGGAATCGTTTGTACTAGTTTCAATCCGAAATATCACCAAAATTTCAAATCCGCTTGCGAATTTAAAATATCTCAAAGTGGAGTGCTAGCATTTTTTCAATACTTTATATTTTAAAACTCCTTAAGGTACAAACAAAAAAGAAAGTAATACAAACGGTTACAAATCTAACTTAATTTAATTCGCATTAAACAACTTTTTTTTCTTAAATTCGAGTGCTAGCTTCACTTAATTAACTAGTAACACTATTCTTTGGGCCTCCAATTTGAATCATATATGTTGATCTTATCTTTTATTTAGTATTTGGAATGTAAAATCACGTAGAAAAGGATATTATGTACTGAGAGAATTATTCAATATTATGGTAAATCGTTATTTTTCAGTGAAAATTGGAAAATCCGTAAATAATTATTTTTCAGTGAAAATTTGAAAATCCTTATATAATTACTTTCTCACAGTGATTGAACACTTTCTTCAATAATATTATAATTGCTTTTCTTATGTTCTCAAGAAATGCATATGTCGAAAACGAAAAAATTTGGTTTGAAAATAAAATAAAATAAAATAAAATTTGATTTAAAAAATAATAAAATATCGTCTATTTTATTTATCCATTATTTAGTATAAAATTTAATATAAAATTTAGATAAAAAATATTTTATATTCAATAAAAAATGAAATTTTTCTCTTAAAATCACAATAAGAAAGACGAGAAAAGACAAAAATTGCTAGTATTCACTCAATTTATGAGAATGTATAGAGTTTTCGATTTTTACTGAAAAATAACGATTCACCATAACTTTCAATGATTCCCTCAGCACATAATTCCTTTTCTACGTTTCTACATTTCAAATACTAAATAAAAAACATCACATGAGCCAAATTGAAGACGGCCCAAAGAATAGTTACTGTTTAGGTTTTATTGCTAGGATAATGTATAGATTGTAAAGTATATACTAATAAAGTCATTTTACGGAAAAAAAAATGTAAAATTTTAGCTTACTTTCAATTAACAAATTAGTACAAATTCAGTTTTGTTTATTTTTGCCCTTGTTTTATTTTTTTATAGTTCTGCCGGCTTATATATTAAACTAGCAATGTTACTGTTTTCTTAGAAATGATAGACATAATAGACATAATAGAAAATTGTTCTTAGTAATACAGATTAATACAAATCCAATCCAATTGATTTCTGATATAATTTTTCTTTTTCTTTAAGGGAATCTTAAAGATTAGTCATATTTTAAATAGCACTTACACACAAACGATTTACGTATCATTGACACATCAATACTTTAATCATGCATGCCACATACACATAAATTAAACAAAAATTTATGTGTATGTGTGGCATGCACGTCTAAGTTCAATTTTAAGAATTTCACGCTGTTTCTTCATGCGAACTACTAGTCTATGGACTATTATTTCATAAGTGAACAGATTGCACGGATTTTATATGAAGCAAATGTGAAGCGACATGATAGTTTTGGAACGCCATATTGGAGAGAACTTAAAAATAGTAAAGATGATCTCAATTTCGAAAATTTTTTGCTGTTCTCAGTCTATGCTGATAGACTCCATCTTACAGATACGTATTAATGCGTATACTTTAATTCTAGAAAAGGATTTTCAAATCAGAGAAGAAAAAAATAATTGTTATACAAAAATTATATGGTTTAGTCAGTAATACAGACTTTATGATCCTCTTAATATTAAACTAGCAACATCGCGATTTTTTTCGAAATGACACAGAGTACAAAATTATCATTATCTAGTACAATAAAAAATAATAATAGTACAAAATAAAAAATACTAAAAAAGTACTCAAAATATTCCGATAGGTCCAATTTAATTTTTGCTAATTTAGTCCTGCCAGTTTTATACTGCTGGTTTAAGCTAGTTTCTTAATAATTAACAGAGTAAATAAATTTTATTGTTTTCGATATTTTCATCAACGAATTCTTATCGATTTAATAAAATATATTTGTAAACTATATATATAATTTGCAAAATATTAAGAAAGTTTTTTAATAGTTTCAGTTTTTTAATAGCTTTAAGTTTTCCTATAAAAATAAGATAAGTCTTTTAAACTTTTGTTTACCAAATTGAATTGAATATAGTAATAGATATTTTTACATTATTGATTTTGACTTTTCATTACTGATTTCTGGTTCTTTTTTTGCAAAAAATAAATTTTTATCTTTATAAATATCTTTTATAAAAACATATTTATTTTTCTTCATACGTTTTTAAACTTCTTAAAATTTAATCCAGTAGATAATACTGAAACTTAAATCGTTTAAATCACGAGGACATGGAAGAATCAAAAAACAATCTTAAACTACATCTGTATCATGGTATCAAAAACAAAATTATATGTTTTCATGTTGAAAAATATTTAGTTACAAAAAGTGTGAAAAATTAAGAATTTTCTTATGCTTATCAGCGTTTACAAAATTATCGCGAACGATTACGTTGTCTCAAATGCTAAGAGGATTAATGATAGTTATAACGAGGAGTGTAATGGAAATTTTTGTTGTGTTCGCAGGTTTCCCAGCGGCAGCGTACGCGGCATACGCGGCGGGCCGCGGTTATTCTGGGTACCCTAGTTTCGGATTACCCTACCCGACAGGTAACCACCTTAGCCTTAACCACCTTAATCACCACAATGCGGCCCACATCGCGCCCCTGAACTTGAACTTGAACCTCATACAGGCGCAGCCCGCGCCCCATCATAACCCGCCCACTCCGACACCGCTATTTTACCATCCCAATCTGGACCTCTACAACGCCATGCCTCTGTGAACTAACTCAGTGATTAACGATATCGATAACGAGCTGCGCGCGCACTCTAACCCATCGCTATACGCTAACTGACTTGCTGTCGCTTGGTCCATCCGATCCCATCGCGGCGAGAGAGCGTGTTGCGACGCGAAAATCAACAAGGTGAGAGATAGCCCCTATGTTCTCGAGAGTAATTCGGGCGGTTTGAAAGCAAAGACACGCGTGTAATACTTGAGGATCCCTAGCTGAGGATCCACCGCAGAGACATACACTAAACTTTCGCGAGGGACAAAGCGACTCTCCGTTCCAAGATCACGAGTTCTCGAACTGGACGATGCGAGGACGCGACGCCGACGCATGGAATGCAAGCAGGTTCCGCCGAACGCACGAAAAATAGCAGGAATGGATGATGAGAGATTCTTTAAAGCATGATTTCTCTTTAAAATCGGGAGAGTTATTTCTGATTTTACATAATTTTTGCAGCTCTCGATAGCGAGAGAGAGCTACGATAGAATAGACGAAGAGAAAACGGGGAAAATGTGAAACTTCGCCTAGTTACAGGATATTCGGAGATAAATTATTAATATCTAGCAGAGAGAGTGTCAGCTCGGCCGACACGACAGCTGGCTCGGCTGCGATATCGACTCGCTTCTCTTTGAAAAAGTTTGTACATTATTGGAGTACTTATTCGATATCTGTCGCAGTGTTAGTTTCGCGTATTTTTTTATAACGAGAATACTATCAGCGAGAATCGTACAAATTGATAAATAATTACTATATCAAAGTTATACTACATTTCGTTCATTTTAAGGCTTAAGGGCATCAAGAAAAGATTTGTTAGTCTCAATATTAATAACATATCGTTTCATATTCTCTAATATTCTCTTTATATTTCTATATTCATCTTTGTATTAATTAACAGAATATTCGACAGATTTTATGACAATTATTTTATTATACAATACAATACATTACTTTCCTACTATATTTTAAAATAATATTTTTTAAAGAAACAATGGATTCCAAAGGATATAAATAATCTATTCTCTTTCTCGTTCTGCGGTAAACAATAAATCATCGAGTGTTTGCGAAAAAGTGTGTTGTGCTACCCGTGGATTCGGAATTTATTGAGCTGTTATAGCTACGGTGCACTATTGATTCTCCCTTGTGCTGTGGGTATCATTTTTAAAGAATTCAAAATCTCAAAATACTGATATGTATATATGAATGAGAATATGTAGGTATAGAGGGAAAAAAAATGTGCATAGATTACGCTGGGTGCAAAATGCCTCGTGAAAGTATTCGAACGATTTTATTCGATTTAATATAGGCGTATTATCGTTTGAATACTTTGGTAAGCCACTATATGTGAAATCAATCATTCCTTTCAATAACGAATATATCCCAATAGCAATCTCAATAAAAGCAAATATCCAATCAATGTCCGAATTCATCAGTAAATACCACTAAATATTGAAATAGCCGATAAAAGTTATCAGAGGAATACTTTTACTTTTACAGCGTTTATTAGCCAAAATTGTGTAGGGAGAGCGTACAGTAAAACCAATATTATATATATTTTGTAAATACACATCGATATTTTGAAAATCGATGATGTCACCAAAATTGAGTTCAAACTGTTCAAAGCTGTTTGGCGCAGTCAACGGATCATGAAATCGATCGCGATATAAAATGTGTGGAGCGGGATAAAATGTTATTGTTGATATCTGGCAAGGGGAACAAGTTCGTATCGATTGACAATGATATGCATCGCGGTCCACTTTAATATATACACACAACACATGTAAATACACACACACGCACACGCACGCACGCACGCACGCAATATACACATACACATACATACATGCATACATATACACGCATTCTGCTATTGACATACACATGACTGCAGCGACTAATAAAGTACCTACATACGTAAAATGAGCACGTCCATCTTTCGACATCGATTTGTTGAAATCGAAGGGATGATAGTTCATGGGCGAATCTTTCAATGTCGAGTCTTTTTCATAATATATTTGCGAAATGAAACCACAGCATTTAATTACTCGAGGAAAATGCATTTTTTTTCTATCACAATTCGATAAGATGATTGCCTATTCTAAAGCTCGATGAACAGAATTAAAGGATAGTAAATGGTTAGTTTGTACCCCTCCCTCTCCTCCCCTTCGTGAATTATTAATCTCTTATCCGTCTGTTCCAATTTGTTTCTGCAAACTTTTCTTTTAACAATATTAAATTGTTATCTGTATTTTTACTGATATTTATTTGTTATTACATCGTAAATTTTGTTATTTCATTTTGATTGATTATATAAAATTTGAAACATACAAGGCAGCAGTAGTTCAAATATATTGAAACTTCACTACGCAGCCAAACCAAATAGTTAAAATGAAAACCAGATAAAACCATATAAAAAACCATAATATTTTAAAAGTTAAAATGAAAACTAGTATAAGACCTTGTAAAAAAAGCCGTGACGTTTTCATCGATATCTTCAAAAACATATTCTATTTTCTATTTCTTTAAAGTTTGCGATAAAAAATATTATTTATACAAAGAATTATTTTTTTTGTAAAAACCTCAGTTTTATTAACAATGGCATCTTAAGTTAATTTTCAATGGATTTATTATTAAGTAAAATGTCATCATTCTCCTCTTTCAAAACTTTCTACATAGATACTATTTTTAACGATCTCCTTTTGCGCTCTTCTAATATAAACTATTATGTAAAATTTATATAACTATAATGCTTTTAAGATATTCCCTCACTTTTCTTAACATGTATTATTGCATACTTTATCACTCGTGTGTTACGTTTGCTTGCTTTCGTTATTTTTCGCCTGGTAAATGTATGTACATTTTATCCCGCAAAAAGCGATTGCAATCGAAACTATGCACTCTTCCATCCCACGTAATTTTAACCTTTCCACGTGGCTTGCTGCTCCTCATGTCAAACATGTAAAGCAATAATGACGCGTCACGTCGTTAACGTCGGACAAACTGCGATCGGTGCTCCGTCGCGATCGAAATTGATTAGCGAAATTAATTGAAGATAGTGTCATCCAACAATATCGCTTCAGATTTGCTTCAGAAAATGCTTAAAAACGGAAATGCGATTTCTATTGTCTTGAGAAATTGAGATCTACGTACATCGATTGTTAGAATAATATATGGGTGGGAAGAGAATTCATAAATAATGTATAATGTTTTTCGGACGTTCGCCCATCCCTCAAAAAGCCTGTCTTCCCCCTTTCTCCTACTATTTCCTTTTTCGATCCGATCCTCGCTTTCCTCCAGGGATATGCTCGATACTCCCAGAATCGTTTCCAATTTTCCTCGACACCCTCTACTTAACGCATTTGAATAGCATTTCGGGATCACCCCCGCGGCTACCTTTCCATTCTTCGCTCGTTCCTGATCTCCTAGCCTGGTTTGTGTTTCTTATTGCGTACAGTTCACGAGGCATGGTGGTAGAAGGAAAAGTGGATATCATTCGCGATGATTGATCGCCATAAAGAATTCTTCGTCACCCCCGTTCCTCCGACTCCCTCAATGTATTTCCAATGTCCGAAAAACATTTGTCGGTTAAGCCACCCTCTTCGCAAATATGGGAACGGGGCGATCTTTCATGTGAAGTAGGAACGTGAGTTAAGAAAGATATTTCTAGTAAGGGGCGGCGACGTATACATTCGTGAAGAATTTCAGGGAAGAGCTTGAACATGTGTGTGTGTGTGTGTGTGTGTGTGTGTGTGTGTGTGCGTGTGTGTGTGTGTGTGTGTGTGTTCCCGAACTGCAAATATTCCGCTGCTTCAAGAGAAGTCAAACGGCGACCGTGATTTAACGATCGTCACTAGACATTCACCGTTATGAAAGCGCCAAACGAGATCGTTTCACGATGCAAACTGCATTTGTGAATCATTTCATATATTTCATATATTGGCAAATAAAGACAAATCTTTCTCGATAACTTACGAATGAAGAGGCAAGCGTACGAAAGATGTTTCTATGCAAAATCGCATCATTCTTACAAAATCATTATTTTTTATTATGTTATATCAGTCATATGAGATATTAAATTTTTTAACTTTACGAAGATTAAAGAGAAAATTATCTTTTTTTATATTAATTTTTATTATAAACTACTTCTTTTTGTTGACGACTTAGTTTATGTTAATAGAAAAATGGACGAACGAAATATCTTTATATTTTATATGTTGGATTATTAAATTGAATTTGATATTTGACTCTCACGCCCTTTCTATAATAATTTCGATTATTTCGAACATTAAGAATCCTTTGTCCTTGTTTAATTTAAAATGTTTTTATTTTAGTTAGTGCTTTTCAAATTTAGCTATTACAACTTACTGTTTTACGAAAAATATACGCTTGAAATATATATTGTATTTAAATATGAATACGTTGCATGAATGAATAGTATATCAACGCTAAACGATGCTTACACGAATGTATATGATATTATATGACATTGTTGTAACTATAATTGAATTCCGAATGTGGTAATATCAAAATTACCAGCAAATTGTCACAAATCTGATCCTCTCATCTGCCCCTTCGATTCATGTTTTCCGATTCAAGATGGATGAGATGTTTAGTGCATCAGCATAACATTATACAGCAAATTCGCTCTATTACACTGCAAGTTTCAGTAGAGCGACGTGCTCTATGTATTAAATATTGACGTGAAATCAGTGAGTTTCAATTACGTTTAAATCAACAAATACACTTTCATTCACAAGTTAATCAATCAGAGAAAATTTACATGAAATATTATCAATAAATGCAAAAGTTAATTGATTTATTTTA